AAAATATCCTTACTAATCAAGTGTATTGACTATAACTCTTATTATTAGAATGACTATTTTGAAAAGAAATGTATAAATATAAGAGACAAAATGGATTGGAGTCTTATATTTAGAACCAAAATAAAAGTCAAATAAGGTCTTATATTAAAAACCGAAGGTAGTATATCATACACGCCATTTTTCACCTTCCACATATTTTCTTTATTAATGATTAAAAAATAAAAAGAAGGGCATGTCATGCGTCTGTGTAAGGAAATACACAATCTAACTCCATCAGATTAAACAAGCGTCCATTTTGTGGATTACAACACCGATTATTTCTTACTAACGAGGACTTGTTGGAATCGAGGGAGAAGCAAACGCAGGGGAAGGAGTACCAGTGAGACTCCACGATGCAAAAATATCAACAAGTTTGCAGCAAGTAGGGCCGCTGAATCGAATTGAATCATGCTTGGTGGTCAAGGCATCTCATGGTTGTGCTTTCCCTCGTACTTGGTCCTAACTGCTCCTGGCTCATCTATTGCTCTTTCATCATGTTTTCGCACCTTACACTTCATGTTAGTACAGCTATAGTAACTTCTACAACACAATTTCAATTTTTCAGCCATTTTTCAAAGGAGCTGTAATATCTTCTGAGCCAGAAAACATGTCAAGGGGTGTCTTGAAGTCTCGGGCACGCTAACTTCGCATCACATAAAGGCCATGCTGAGAAGATTGAAACTCTATCAAATATCAAACCTGGGATATGGATTGCCCTTCACAGCCTTCTGCCCATATTGTTTCCAGCGGAACCCATCCCCTACTATTTCTGAATCTGCATAATTTGGCACCACTCCTCCAGGCCCTTCACCTTCCTCTGAAACTGCTATTTCATAGGATTTGCTACTCTCGTTTTTCCTGAAGCAACAGCAATTAAATATAGACTACAGTAAAATACATATATACGGGAAAATGAATCATGTCGCTTGATATGTTTTTATCAGACACAAAACATATGAGAGGTACCTTCTTTTGCTTCTAGGCTCTTCCTCCGCCTCAAACTCCTTTCTTCCTCCTTCCTCGCAATACCCAGTTTGAGCGCACGAATTCTCAAGGCCTCCTCCCCCACCATCTAACAGAGGAGTTTTTCCTTCTTTCCTCTCTCCATTGTCACTGCTCCATAAATTGTTGTTGTGTCACTGTCTTGACTCATTTCGTCGCCCGCCGCTCCTGATAATAAAGCCGAGTTTCGCTTAGGAGGCTGAGGCTTTGAATGATTGTGTGAACCATTATATACTATTTCTGCAATCTGACCATCAAGTGATCTTTCAACCTTCTTCTTAGCGGCACAATTAGGATATGTGCATTTGTAGTAACTCCTCGGGTACTCGGTTCCTTTAACCTGCTTCTGCCCATATTTCTCCACTTGAATCCATCATAAGAAGGTCGGCCGCCATGGTTATCGAATGTTAAAGCCTTTGTGTCTTCCTCCACCTTACAGGGTTCAGTTGCTTGGGGGGTATCAACTTTTGGGTGTAAATAGTCTCTGAACTTTCTTGCAGTGGAGGCTGATGATGACCGGTACTGCAATTTCTCTTTTCCAATAGAAACAAGGACATAACATCAATTTTCGAAATGATATCCACATAGGAAAAGGGAGTTATTCAATTATTTACAGTACTGACCATATTTGCCAAGAGAGAAGCAGTGGTCTTTGATACAACTTTTGCCATTGGCTTGTAAATCTTGCCAGATTTTGCACTCTGAAATTAAGAGGAAAATACAGAGAGATATTGGAAGTGAAGAAGCCCTTAAAAGTATAGATTGTCATGTCATTATAAAGTGGAAGTTCACCTGAGACGAATCAAAACCAGCAGGAGGAAGGGGGTGATATGGGGATAGCCTGGACCTCACAGTTTTGGGTCTGATGGCTGAATCTGAGGTTTGATAAGAGTGAACAGAGGAAAAAGAGACATTAATGGCACCTGCAAGCGGTTTTGAGACAGGTCTAAAGGTGGAGCAAGTAGGCCTTGAAGCAACAGGTTTTGCAATTACTGCTCTTTCTGCTTCCTCAGCTTCCATCTTCAATCGCTATGTCATTGCGGAGTTGTGATTCCTTCATGTAGGAAGGAGAAGCAAAATCATCGTCTTCAGAATATGAAAGACAGCAAATAAGAGAATGTTATTAGGCGTCCCACTCGTACTATTCTTGCCAAGTTTCGATAGTAGAAGTGCACTAAATATAATGTAGGTGATTATCTTTGCTCAAAAAAAAAAAATAATGTAGGTGATTATAATATTTGAAGATATGACATGAAGGGATCAGGATAAAGCCATCCTTTTCATATGAGCGAGCTAAAATGGGGTATGAGAACCGTAAAGAAATGAATATATCCGCTAGCAATTTTCTTTTCTCAAGCGTGTTGGATCAAAAACAAATAAAAAACCAACTTCGCCGTCCGTGGGGATCGAACCCACGACCACGTGGTTAAAAGCCACGCGCTCTACCACTGAGCTAGGACGGCCAGACAAGTATGCTGGTAAAACAATTTGCACAGCAGCTTATGGTGAAACAATTTTAAAAAGTAACGCCATCCGTGGGGATCGAACCCACGACCACGTGGTTAAAAGCCACGCGCTCTACCACTGAGCTAGAACGGCCCCATAGTGCCCGCGCGCACATATTATATTCTAAAGAACACTGATTCAATCACCTCTAACTTCAGGATAATGTTAAATTTGAATTCTAGCCAGAATTAAATTTAAATGAAATTGTAAGTAAAATTTTAATTTTAACCAAAAGAAAGTAAGACAAGATCTTCTTGAAAGTAATGATTAAAAATGATCACATTATTAGTTGTAAAAAATTACCTTAATATTATTGTAGGCAGTTTACCATTTTTTTAAATGGATTAATTTAGTTAAACCCTTGAATTTGGTTGATCTTCATGTATTTTTACCATTGAAATATAATTTTATCTAAACTTAAGTGTACAAATTCAAATACATATAAGTTTATAGTTTGTATTTTTCTTGCCAACATCTAAATTAAGTACTGTTTAGGGTTTAGTACTTTTCGGATAAGATATGAATAACACAATAATCACAAAATATGATTCTTTAATTGAACTCGATGTATGCTGATGTTGCCTCACCCTAATAACAGTAGGTATTTGGAAAATTTAGTGTTAGTACCTCTTGCTTCTTATCACCAAAACACAATATTCAAAGGATGTTTGATTAAAGCTATAATGATGTCCTCTAAATGCATCCAACCCCTGTGCAGTGGTATGTTTTGTTCCCCTTGTTTTGTTATTTAATTAATGATGTTCTCTAGAGCAGTTAATTACCATGTAGACATGAATTGCAATGTCCAAATACCTGTTCGTGTCTTTGCTGAAATGAAATTGAATTATGCTATTTGGCTCTGCGTCCGTTTTGGACGTGACATGGCAGAAATTTGTCAGTGTGAAAATGACTGCCTGAGATGGAGGCTAAATGCCAAGCATTGACATTAGGGTTTGAGGGTTAGTTGAGATTTGGAATGGTAGCTGAAAATTGAGGTTGCAACGGTACAAGAAGGTTGCTGTTGCTTACCATGTAGCAGTACCGTCCATCACCAAACAACTACATTACATTATGATTATGACGAGTAGTTATGTCATGTGAGCCACCGCACTTCCCAATGGAAATGGATTCATTTCTGAACGATCCCTTTCAATAAAGGGAGTTATCATGCAGCTACTGAGAGTAAATGGTGGCGGTTTCCAGTTCAGTCCAAGCAACACCTAAAGCAGTCCCTGCCCGTGATAAAATGGGGAAAAAAGCAACGAGACTTGCATTAGGATAATAGACATGCAAGATTTGACCCCTATTTTGAAAGGGAAACTAATATATTACTATGCTTGCTTTGTTTAATCTGGTTTGAAGATGCTTTGACATGGGCTTCGTCATCATGAAGACGCTTTGAAAGTGCGCAATACCGGGAGTCAGCGTTGTAGCTTAAAATGGGTGATAATGACATACTGTATTACTAACTCAAATCCTTAATATAAAAGTTAGTTTGACTTTCAATTTAGTTCTAGATATAAAACTCATTTTATATATGATTAGTAAGGGTATTTTGGGAAAGACAATACATATTTAATATAAATAATTAACTTAAACTTTTTTAATCTACTCAAATTAGTCAAACTAACACTTATATTAAAGACAGGAGGCAGCAGCAGCAGTAGCAATAGTAGTAGGAGCAGCAGTAGTAATAGTAGTAACTTTCTTAATCTACTTAAATTAATCAAGCTAACACTTATATTAAAGACAGGAGGTGCGGTAGCAGCAGCAGCAATAGTAGTAATAGTAATAATAATACTATTACTATATTATTATTATTATTCATTTGCATGTGACTGAACTATGTCAAGGATTCGATCCCAATTTTAGATTTTGCATGCTATTGTTTCTCTTATAGAGGGACTAGAATTTTCATCCCATTAGCTTCCATCTCTTTTCAAATGACGTACGAGGCCAAATTCGTGATTGGGATGCTTGATAATGACAAATGCGGAAAAAAGGGGAAAACGTAAAACTGAACATATTCGTTTTCACCACCATTCGCATATTCTGTGGTGCAGACGACACATGAATGGGAACCCATTATTCACTTTTTCTCCCCATGCTCATCCTCACGGCATTTCTCAGGAAAGCCTTCGCCAATTCAGGGCACAGTTCACCCCCCAACGTCAGGAAATGTTACGTTAGCTTTGGAAGAATTTGATTTAAGATTGCACACAGTCGCCTTCGTCATTTCAAAAATATCGAGGCGTTTACGCTTAGTCTAATTGTAAAATTACTGTTCACTAGGATCCAAAATTTTCAATCATAAACGCCCTTCGTTGAGTTATACAGGGTACACCTGAATTAACAGACTTCAACTGGGTCCATGGAAATTGTTCCTAACATGAATTTTTTTTCCCAACTGAGAGGTTGAAGCAGGCAGTGTAAGAAGAGAGAGAAAGAGCAACAGATGAATGGGAGAATGGAGATAGGCATTTGATTGTTCCAGCATAATATCAAACAAGGACTAGCAAATGTGCAGCAGCCAAATGAGTTTTCCGAGCGTCCAAATATCATAACAACAACGTCTGTTAAATTAATGACACCATAAATTGATTTGAAGTAGCCGAATGAACAAGCTGGAACAGCTGGAGTCCATTTTACATTGACACAATACAGACGCAGACACCAACAATTCTCACATTCCACGTGAAGATTCCTACACTCATGATCATGCCATTTGCGCAAGTGCTCTGAATCAGCTGTCAGTTGGCTCTTCTGCCTCACTTGTACTTTTGTAGGAGGCCTGTCGAACAAATTGTCCACGAAAGCGAGGCCGCTGTTCCGCTAATTTCTTTCTACTTTGATATCGAACCTAAAATGCAAATCGGATCAAGAAAGGAACAAGTAATCAAATGAGCGTGGCATGATAAATACTTTCGTAACAGGAGTAGATTGGCTCCAATTCAAATGGGTAGCCCATATAAATCTACTTCTAGTAGAAATAGTATCCCCTCGATAAAGCCTTACCTCAAGCCTGACTGATTTTAGAACTCTAACTGACCAAATCTCTAGGATTTTTTTTTTTGGGAGGGGGGGGGGCTATGCCAATATTTGTAATTACAGGGTAGCCAACGTGAAAACTAAAAGCTGATCTTAATCAACAACAGTCCCTAACAGAATCCCCGACCGATTATATTAATGCATTCATGCTACAATTACCATATCTATTGGCTTCCAAGCTCCTTCAACTTGGTTGAGACCTTCACTAGCATTTGTGTGTATCGAATTGGTGGGGGTTAGGGTAATATGGGAACCTAAATACCACATTGAGTAGCATGAGATGCTTAATAGGCATTTATGTGGATAGATTTTCCCACACCCATAGCTAACTTTTGGAGGTGGTTTCCTGCCCCACTTGAGTATCCCCTTAATTCATATTAACGCTAGTGGTTGATGGTTTCAAAAAGACTGCCTATGGAAAGTCCTAGCTGGTGGAGTCTTTTAACTGACAAGAAGTCAAGCGAAGTTTTACTGCAGATTGCAACCACTGGAACATCAGCTCTCAAAGCCGATTGATGGAGAATTCAGAAGCATACAATGCCTAAATTCCCACATCAAGTAGTATGAAATTCTTAATGGGATATTTAAGTAGGTTGATTTCCCTGCCTTAGTAGCTAGCTACTGAGGGAAGGTCCCCATCTCACTTTGAGTGCCCATCACAAATACACAATGATAATGATCGTGGATAGAGTCACAATATCTACCCAAAGAAAAAGGAACTATAAATCCTCCAGTAGCATCATAGCAGTGCTATCTTTTTTTTTTCACTGACTGACAGCTTTGACAGATAAAAATTCAGGGAGCAACTTTTGAGGGCCAAACATTAGAGAGAACGTGCAACAAAAATACAGAAAATGCATGAGACGAGAATAATGAGAGTAAGGTGAGAGTGACACCATATTACCAGGATAGGTAACAAGCATTTGATGATATCTAGGTCAGTTACCTTTTTCCGGAAGCACCTCTCTTTTCTCTTCTGCCGAAATTTAGTCAAGGCTGCTTCTCTTTGCGAAGTCTTCTTCTGATCCATCCTGTTAGCACTTCCACCTCCACTCCCACTTCCACTCCCACTAGCATCACCATCTCGACTATTCCCAGCAATTCCATTGTTATTCTCTATGTTTATCCCTCCAGCATTGACTGCAGTACTGCTCCCATTTTGTCCATTGCTTCCATTGTTGCTGCCTGAGACACTTCTATTGATACTATAATTTCCAACATTACCTTCAACCATTTCGACTACATTTGATGACCCGCAGTGGGGTGCTGTGCCAGTAAGTTTCTTTGATGATGCATCATCATGGTCCGGAGGTAGTTGATGCTGCATGTTGTTCACGATGCAGCTATGGTTCTTGTATATCCCATGGAAGTCCTGCGTTGAAGAGTCCTTGTGTACACCTCCTCTAGGTGGTTCTAGCATAGTTGAGGCTGTCGTATCTCCATTATTATGTACTGCAACTTGTTGTGACGTACACATCAAGTTGTTTCTTATAGGCTGGAAGGCAGAAGATTGGTACAAACATTTACTTGGAGATGCCACTGTTGTCTTGCTCATAACAGCAGATTTAGTGAAAGCGTTATCAGTTGTGGATCCCATGTCAATGTTATTGCTGGCACCATTCGAGTTCTGGTTAGGGGGGTTTCCGCTAGAATGGGATTGAATGTCACGTGATGAATCTTTCTTTGTAACTTCTAAGCTATTGTTATGCGGAGAATTGCTTCCAGCACAACCACCAGGAGATTTCTTAGCATTAGAAGCCGCATTATACCTATAGCAGAAGACTTGTTCAAATATACTTGCATTAATCTTTAAATTAACTCCGACTAATAACCAAAAAAAAACAAGAAATAAAGCCATCATACCTTGAAAAGGCCGAAAGGTCTGAACGTCTTAAAACATTACGCTCATCCTGAATTGTAATCCCAGCATCTTTAACTCCTCTAAGTCTCTTTAAACTGAGCTCAAGAGATGGTAATTCTTCATTATCATTGATAGCTTTGCTTTCAGTATCTGAGGACTTGGCTCTTCTATTTGAGGCTCCGAATTCTCCACCATGAATCCGCAAATCATAACTGGTAACAGCATCAGACTGACATGGACCTTTGCATCTTAACTTGCTAGAAGGATCTTCACAGTGAAGTTCCAGCTGTCCCCTATTAAGCTGCTCATTGAATTTAGAGGAGCCTGTATCAAGTCGGTTGCTATGTTTTTTGCCCAAATTGTTGGCTAAGACCTCATTTCTATAGTCAAGAATCAAGCCCAGATCCCTACTCGAGTCCACTTTCAGATCTATGAATAGCACCGGAAAAGAACAAAACACAACAAAACAATTGGAAAAAGATGTGTGAAAAAACTTTCAGACACAACTGTACGCATGCAAATGCACAAATCTCTACATAAATGCATAAACAAATGGCAAGTGGTCATTATACAGACAGTAAATTTAGAAACAAAAAAATAGTTAAGGGACAAAACATGATATCAACAACATAGAAGCCCAAAATCCAGTTAAATAACTGTAAATTTGATGTCAATTAACAAGCTTAGTGAAATTGAAAATTAATTATATTTCAGTTTTCCCATAATTTGGCTGAAACTTTTTAAGTGCAAGAGCAAACGTCAGTAAATTGAGGCAGGAGCAAAGCATTCCTCGGTAGGCATTTTAATAGATTAAGGCATGAACCAAGAAAACAAACTAGCACATTTGAAATACAGTTTTGGTGTTCAGTTATCTGTTGAAGAATTTTACTCAAAGCTAGGGCAACCTAACGAGGTTCCTTGGGGAGAAAATCAAAGCAGAGGACCATAATGAAGACAAGGAAGGGAATTTCCCCAAAAGTAAATGTAAAGGTAAAACTTGGCTGGAGAATATTCTAGCATTCAACTTCCACCAAACATATCTTATTATCATAACATCATTGCAAAACAAAAATCACCAATCAGCACGCTAAAATTACCATAACATCACTGAGCCACATGGCTCTTTTCTGGAAAGAAGGAAGAAGGAAGAGTTAATGCAGCAATAAGAACATTTCACTCTTACCAAGCTGATCCTTCTGATCTGGACACTCCTTTATGGCTACAGAAAACATCTTGTTTCCACTAATTTTGGCATTTGACAGAACAACTTGAGCACAGGTGCTATCAGGGCACTCAGTTATATGATCCCATTGGGATGGTTTGGGACTGTCAACTTCTATAGCTTGTTTAGTCCATGAGCTCTGTAAAAAGAAAATAAATGATGAGATTTGCACTTACATTTTTCCTAGCAAAGTATCTACCAGAATGGATCTACAGGGTGGGGTTCGTTTGAAGTAAAAGACGTAGATACAAACATAATCGATGATAATAATAATTAATCATATGAAAAATTTTAAAGCCCTAACGTTAGAATATAAGACAGGAGGTCAAATTAATTATTCAGCCATTCAAATCACAGAAGTACCCATTCCTACTCTTGCAAGCAAACTGTTGCAAATTCATTCAGAAGGAAAGAAAAAGTGGAGGCTAAATTACGAATGGACTGCAGTCTATGGATTTACCATTTGTCTACCTCTGGCTTCTGACTAACATATTCATGAAACTTATGAAGCTCAAGATGTGATCTTCACCTTATATCACACATCACGGTTTACCATTTAATCTCTTAAACTGAGTTTTAGACCATGCTTTTCAGTCTTTTTGAGCTCAGGGGAATAATAAAGACATAAAAAAGTCAACACCATAATAGTTTTTAGAACACGGGGTGACAAAGTAAGCTCCAAGCCATAGGTGGATCATATGTAATTTAACCACAGTAAAGGAAATTATAAACAATACAATGACAAAGCTCGTAAACAAATGTAGTTATATGACACTAAAACATATGAGCTTATACAACACTTCCTGTGTTGTCTATCTTGGGTTTTTTTGGGGGATTTGCTTTAGTTGGCTTACTCACGAGTTTTCACAGTGGTCTTATTTAGTGGTGTGGTGGTTCAAAACTGATAATATTAAGGACTGATTACAGCCTAGGGAGAACGCCGCAATAGATTATATACTCTCTCCTTGATCCTTGCATATCTAATTAAATGTTACACACAAATGGAGACCAGTAAACTACATTGTAATGACTCATTCTATATAGATAAACTTTTAAACCCAAGCAACTAACTTGTTCAATTGAAAGAAAAGAAAGACGTCCATGAAACTCAAGTTAAATCTTAAGGCCTATTCAATGAACGAAGAAACAGTCATACCTGAGTACCACTACCATTGTCACTTCCATCCCCGTTATTAAGACCCACACTACCATTGTCTTCTTCATCGTTGCTGCCACTGTTGTTATCAGACTTCTCAACACTCTTTGATTTAATGGATTTCTGAGTTTGTGTGCCACTTTCACTTCCACTACCACTTGACTGTTTGGGGGGGGGGGGTCAACAAACAATTCAGATTTGTTATGAACAGTAGGAAAGCCTGTACTATATCAAAACATAAAAAGGTAAATATAGAACAGAAACTTATTTATGGGAAAAAAATAAATTTGGTGGTTCAAGATGGGCAAAAAAATTGAATCTTCATAGCTCCATTGAATAAGCAACAGAAATGACCAGTAAATTTTTACAATTTTAAATGCATAAATTGTACTCAGCAGCATTTAAGATAGGAAGTATGAGATCAAAAAGAAAATGAAGTTCACTCACACTATGACATCTTCTCCACACATGCTGCCATAGGTTTTTAAGCTCATTCTTCCGAATAGGTTTCACTAGAAAGTCAACGGCACCCTTTGACAAACACTTAAAGACTAAACCCATAGAGTCATGAGATGACATCACTGCAGACCAACGTCATTAGAAGCCATAGAAAAGTATAGCTTTTTCAAACAGCTTGTCATGAGAAACAAAGTTACCAAAATTGAAACATTTAAAACAAAATGGACACTCCGAAAACTTACTAATTACTGGAATGTTTTTCCGCGTTTTATGGCCCATAATTTTGGACAGAAGGCCAATGCCTGATAAGCAAGGCATAGCTACCTCAGTCAAGACAAGATCTATTTGACTGGTTAGATCTTCCAAGATCTTCCATGCTTGCAATCCGTTTGCTGCTTCAATAACTAGAAAATACAAAATTAACAATGATCATTCGCATGTCACGCAGTATCAGAGTTCTCATGTAACTATGCACATACTTATTATGGATAAGTTCCCACAAGCAATTTTTGGTCCCAAAAAAAACAAAAAAAAAAACAAGCAATTAGTTTGATGCTATACACAAAACTAATGCTGACACAGTTGAATCTCTTTCAACAATAACCCCCAAAAAAAAAAAATTACTCTTTGGCCGCAAATAAAAATGGCATAGTTCTTCTGTTCATTATATTTTTCAATCATAACTTCTAAAGTTTTACCTGTTCGTAATTACTGGAACCCATGGATATAATTAAGCAGCTAGCCCCAGCAATTATTGAATTACGTAGAAACTTCCATACTTGAATCATATGTGTCCCAAAGAAAGACAGGATACTTATCAATCACCCTTTTCTTGAGGGAAGACCAACAATGAAAATGAGACCAGGAAACAAGCAAACCAAACAAATCGTCATATTCTAAAAGTTAAGCCATATATCCTAGAGTGACAAACTAACATAAGAAAGTCCCCCAGGAGGAGCCCCAACAAAATTCTCCACCTGCCAAAAAGCAACCTTTCCACTGTGGAGGCATCAAATTTTCTAACTTATTACACAAGAATTAGAATTCTTAATCCTACTGCTCTTCCAACCCCTGTTCCAGTTAAGAAGCCCTGAAAATAATACATGCAACCATTTATTACTATAATAAATTCCTCTTCCTCACAAGCGTAGCTAGCCATTATGAGTTGAATATCCATGCTTAACAATGCACTTAACCTCTTTAGGAATTCATAGACCTTGCTGAAGATCGCTCTTCAGAGGACATACTCACTCTCGGGATTTTTCTCTTTTCCTACACATATTTGGCTCTAGCTCAATTCAGCCAGAGCACTATCTTCCGGATCAACAAACCAACCCAGCTTGCAGCAAGAGTAAAAATGAATTTATCAAGCATAAATCACTGGTTGAATAAGATGTCCTTTTTCCTGTCTGATTCAAAAGGATTTCTCGGCAAAGTCAGACGAGTTGTTGCACATGGGAAATATGCCTAACTATTCAGAAAACAAATAAACACACCAATACAGGTCTAAGAGGAAAACATGATGAAAAGAACATGTGATCAAGCCTAATGTAATTAGTAACTATACATCTTTATTATCTAGCCCCACCAGAAAATGAAAGACTGTTTCAATTTTGAACTTACACCACCAAACATCCATTTATAATTTAGAAGGGAAAAAAATCCACATGCCTGAAATAAGAAAACATGTTACAAAGGTAATGAATGAAAATTGCATCAAGTCTCAAAGCCTACTCAAATATGTAAAACATTTAATAACCGTCAAATAATAACAAACCTTCATAACTACAATTGCGAAGCAGTGCCGCAACAACATGACGAGTAGAGTCATCAATCTCCACAAGCAAGACCTTGAGTGATCTGAGATGTAGGAACCTCTCCCAAATTGCCCCTTGAGGTTGCTGTTGTGGCATATGCTGAACGGCTGGAGCTTCCACAATTCCATCTTGTCCCACTTTAACTTCTTCAGCTGTTCCATTACTTTTTAACTCATCATCCTCATGGAAATTATGTCCGTCACCAGCAGCTCCCTCTTTGGTGGTTTTTTTACCATCTTGCAGACGCTGAGCCAATTCTTGAAATTCTTTATCATCACCAGCAATGCTCATGAGGACGTCCCTTGTCATTCAGATGACAGAACACTGATATTTAGGAATGGTTATAACCTGCCCCCACACACAGGAAACATCACACGATACATTTTTCAGAACCCCAAGCTTGACAATATAACTCAGCCCAGTGCAGGTATAAATCACTGGATATGCGGTCCAAAAAAAACACAGACCTACACAAGCAATAATTTCATAAGTTCTGCTTTATTTTTCACAATGAACTCCAAGAAATATCCTCAGACAACAATGCTCTCAACAAAACCCTTCAGGCTTCCCTCACCATGCATGAGCAGAGAATAGAATTATTAAACCACCTAAGAACATATTTCTTTGTCGGCTGAGATACAAAGATCCCTTGATCACGTTCTCCACTTCAGAATCAAATGAATGTGATTATATACATACCCCAAAACCAACAAAAAAACAGCGAGGAAGTAAAGAAAAAGGTTGAGAGACAAATATAAAGCTGAAGTATAGATCTTGAGTCGATACTAACTCTGAACTCCTTCTTGCTGTAATTTACTGAAGTATCGGAGTCAACATCCGAAAGAACAGGATAGCATCTTCCAAACCCTAAGTAGGCCGAAGAACACTTGAGGTTGCAAATTCCCCAATCGATTACACACGTGATTGACTTCTACTGAAAATATAAATCCATTATGCATACAAGGGAGATTCACAACAGCAAACCCAGAAGAAGTCTTCCATATCCAAAGAGGATATTGTAGTATGCATCACTTCTTATGCTAAATCGTTGGCACTTCAAAATATGGGAACTTAAAAAGGAATCATATATCTATTACAAAGACCCCAAAAAAGAAAAGGCAGAAAATAAGCGCGGATTACCACCTCAGAAGCTTCATTAATCTCCATTTCCAAGCTCGATCCAGAAGAAAATCATTATAAACCAGGAGAATTACATGATAATGATTTTTACGATTAAACAATATCCATCAAATTAAATTTTGACCCAGAAAATATCTTTATAAAAAAAATCTTCAAGTTAATGTTGCGAGTAAAGAGAGATTGACCGATCTCTGAACCGCGGTAAGGAAGAAGATAATGCGATGGGCGTCTAGTGAAGAAGATATTGGGCTCGTCCAAGGTTGCTGGCGTGGACGAAATGGAGGTGTGGAGCGGTCAAGAAGTGCCATGTAGGAGTGAGATATTTCCAGGTTGTAATATATTTGGTGACGTGGTCATAGTGATGTGGACAAAATCTAAAGCCGGGAGCTCCAAGGCGGTCACCGCATCTTTGGAGATCTGGATCGGAACACGTGGCGCCATATGGGCTCGAAATTAAGCTCAGCGCTCAATGACAATGATGGCCCTAGTGATGAAATGACCGAATTGTCCGCACTTTGATTTTATTAATGTTTTCCATGAAAAATATCTTAGGCGCAAGATTCAGTGTTGCGCGGTACAGCAACCACTGCAAATCACGATTATACTATCCATTCATTCGTCTCGCATCACTCAGAGCCACAATTATGCATTGAAAATTCAAAAATTCAAAAATTTTCAAAAATAATATTTTCTTTTTGAGTAAAAAAATTAAAAAGGAAATAATCAATGTTCTTAAGAGGAATAAGAAAAATATAATAAATAATTTCAGTTTCTATATTGTTTTGCAAATATTTAATATAACGTTAAAAATTAAAAATTTGCATTCACCAAATATATATATATATATATATATATATAATTGGATGTTCAAGTTTAAAAACTTCAAAATTATCGGCCCAAAAAAAAAAAAAACTTCGATTGTGACACTGAGCACGCAGGACGGCAACCCGTCATACATCCCTTCGTCAAGTGGTGCGTATTGACCCACACAGCTGTAACGTCCGAGTAAATATCTCGTCCTTAGTTTCAAGGTAAGTTCAAATTTTTTATGTTAAAATGTTCCTTTTCACATTTAGACATAGAAAAGGGTAAATTATATTATGAATTCTTGGAATAATTTACTCCGTTAAAGGTATGAAATTTTGTTATTATTTAGATAACCTGCATTAATATTTCCCCCGTTTTAAATATTAATTAATTAAAAAAATTACCCATATTAATTACTACCTCCGGTCCTAATTATAGGACCCAGTTGACTAATTTGAGGAGATTAAGGAAAGAAGTTAAGTTAGTTATTTGTAAGAAATAGGTGTTGTCTTTCCTAATATATTTTTACTAATCAACTATATTGGCTAAAACTACAATTATTAGAAAGATTATCTTGAAAAAAAAATTTATAAATATGAGAGATAAAGTGGATTGGGGTTTTATATTTAGGATCAAAATAAAAGTCAAACAGGGTCTTATATTAAAAACTAGAGGTGGTATAATAGATGGCTTTATGTATATTATATGATGATTAAAAGAAGGAATATTTTAGAAAAGGCTAAAGTATATATTTGGTCATTTAACTTTGTATAAGGTTTCAATTTGATCCCTTAACTTTAAAAAGTATACTTTTAGTCTTTTAACCCTAAAATTTTTTTAAAAAAGATGACATTAAAATCTTAAATATTGATAAAATATTCTCAAATGCCAATATATTGAGTTTAATTTTTGAAACATCCATGATTGTTACAAAAAATCATCATTAGAGCTTAATGATTTTAGAATTAAAGGACCAAATGTATGCTTTTTAAAGTTAAGGGACCAAATTGAAACATTGTATAAAATTAAAAGACTAAATGTATACTTTAGCCTTTAGAAATATAATACACATTTTTTTGCCAACAATACACATTCTTTTATGGGTAACCAATATAACTAATATCATTAATTTGTGTAACTCAATTATCTAATTCATATATTTATCACACAAGGTGGTAATCTGGTTGTCTTTTCCTAAATTCTTTTATATCTAATGATTACGCATACACACATTCGCATGAGCAGGTGTTATAACTAAAAAATTCCCTTTGTCTATCATTAATGACTAGTTAGTTAATTAATGCTGCAATTTTTTACTTTTATAATGATTTCCGTTCAAACAAATAACTTCGGCTACAAAAATTGCATACGGTACAGAAATAATTTCGCTAATTAAAAACAAAATTTCCTCTAAATAGAGGTAAAAAGAATAAATATCAAAAGTAGAGTTGAAAGGTTGTCCAGCCTGGCCTGAAGGGGCAGACTGAAAAATGGAATGGGCCGTGTTGGCCCTCTCTTCGGCTTGTACATGTACCTTCCTAGTTCAACCCACATTCTCATCATCAAATTTTTTTTTGGGGGTTAAAATTGATCATTTTGGGGGGGGGGAGGGGGAAGACCAAAAAAATAGAAATTATGAAATCCTAATCCAGGCACTTGAAAACCCAAAAAAAAAAAATATATCTAATCTGATATTTTATAAATATAATTAAAATACCCTTGCTCCGAACTTATCATTACCAACAATTTTTGTCATTTATTATTCAATATTTGTTATTATCAGTACACAACTTATTAAGAAACTTTTTGAATCAGAAACATTTTAATTATTTAACTACATTTACAAAATACCACATCAGATATTACTTCCCCTGAAATTTTAAACTGTTAGCTGCCTTTATTGGGATTTCACAATTTCAGGTTTTTTTTGTCAATTTCCTCCCAAAAAAAATCCCACAGCCAGCTTCAATTTCTCAAAACAAAATTAAAATTGAGTTAAAAACACTCATTTGGGAAAAAAAATCCATCATTGGAAACTTTTAATAAATTGACAAACTTCAGAACGATGGTTCGCCAAATTTATGGCATGAAGCTACAGCTGCGGATAGAAAAAATGCTGATAAAAAAGCTAACAGTTTAGCGCAACAAATAACAACATCAACAACAACAGCCCATCTTCATCTATTGGTCCCAATAATTGACCACATACATGTTTGGAGCTTATTTAAACTAACTAGTAACCCAGTCACATTCACGGACCAGGCGGAGCAAGCTATCAATCCCCCGGCTTAAATTGGAAGTGAACAATCTGGAGGAGCAAAAAAGTCAACATGAAAACATTCCATCCAATGCATAAACAAGTCCGAGGGAAAAAACCAAAAGAAAGAAAGAAACAAAAAAAGGAGGAAAGAAACTAACTAACCGAAGCACGAGGTAGCTAAGAAGATAAAATGTAGGGCAAAATCTATCCTGCACCATGCAGATCTGAGCAGGCAGGAGCTGGTATTGTGCCCTGTCTAACTACTTTAGCAGCTATTTAAACTTGCTGGCTTGCAACCCTTGAGCAAACCAGCTCGGCCAGCTGCAAGAAAACAAAATGCCCCCTATACTTCCAAAAAACTCATCCCTCCAATCCATATGGCATCTAATAGGAACGGTACATTCAGAAATAATACCAAACCCATAATCCGGAGAGGGAAAATCCGAGTTAGATATGTTAAGTGCAAATCACGGCCAGCAACAGAACAAGAAGCATAGTCAAAGAGGTGTCATGCCACTGATAAGCAAGAGCAGCAGCAAGTATGGCGAGAATATCAGAAATCATGAAGTGGCTTTTTTCCTGAGAGGCCAATATAAAAAGCAATTCCCAAATCTCTTGAGCAATTGTGGGTGCAACCAAATTAGTCCATTCACGCTTGAATCAGAGTATTAGAATAGTAATTGGCTAGGGCAAAACAAAACAAAGAAAGCATTACAACAGTAACGGATCAGTCTACTGAAGCTTAACGCTAACCAAGCATCTAAGTAGCCGTCATAAACTCTCACCAAGTCACAGAAAAGTACACCAAAACTTCTGACATTTCACGTAATAATAATACAAATAGAAGCCCATTAGGCATAGGTTTGATCAAGATTTCAACGCTTCTTGATAACATTATTTATCCAAATAATACAAATAGAGGAAGTCCCCCTTCTCATATTTTCTTTCCTGCAAAATTGCCAGGCATGCAACTTATGCATGCAAAGAATGAAATACTCACTTTTAGTGTCCATTATTATATTTAGGCAGCAGCAGACTGTCTGGGCTCATAATCATCAAGATCAAGAGCTTGCAGCAACTTTGGCCAGGATTCAGGGATTCCTCCTGGCAGCTCAAACTCCAATAGTTTTCCTCGACTGCGGTAAAATTCCTCCACAGGCTGACTCTGCAAGCATGATACAGAACAAATAACAAAACAATCGTGAACATAAAGAAAAATATTATATTAACAACGCAGTAACTAACATCATAAGTAGCTAGGAGGAGCAGAGAATTAGTTTCCATAAGTCCACTCAAAGAAATTATGAACAATTAACCATATTAATAACACAGCAATACCATGTCATAGTATATGCGAAGCCTTTCTTTGACTACTTCTTCAGTATCATCCGCACGAGTAACAAGCTTTGGCATGCATTGGGCAGGAGGGAGAAGAGGTGCCATGCTGATTCCAGGGCTCCCATTCTCACCCTTGATATTAATAGAAGCGACATTAAAATTTTTCCCACATTGACTACAAATTCTCCTACCAAGGCATTTCTCAAGCAGTACATCTTCTCGGATCTTCAGATTAACGACCAAATCAATGTCAGTTACCCCATCCAAAATTTCCTGGGCAAACAAAAAGGAAATCCAAATCCATTAAGCAAAGTGCCATTGTGAAAAGAGGATATTACCAAATCATTGCAGCTCATATTCATCAAGGGATAAAACAGTAGTGTTATGAAAACTCAGCCAAACCAGTCAGGGACTGGTCTGAACTGCTGAAACAATGTTAGAAGTTAGAACTGGTTCGAAAAAGAATGGTCAAAAGGAGAACCGATCAAAACCCACGAAAAATGGTCGGCTGGCTAGTTTAACCATTTCATTTTTTTTTTTTTGGAATCTTTTTTAGTTGTGATTGTATATAAATGTTAACTTATTGAGACATGAATATAAAGTCATGAAATTTATTAGTAACAGATAACAGATTTATTTATATATACATATATAATGAAGAACACGTCAGCTTTAATACTATCAGTTCCCCAGCATTCATAGCGAATATCTTCAGGAAAAGAAATTTTAAACAGTTGCAGTGTGGAATAAAATTATTTGGACTTATAAGTATGTGAAAATACTCACTGCTTGGTTTATTGTTCGAGGAAAACCGTCAAGAATAAAACCCGATTCACCTTTTGCTTCCCCAGCAGCCAGTCGCTTTGACAATAAGCTTATTATGATTTCATCTGAGACTAATTGACCTTGGTTTACAATGTCTGACAGCTGTAGATGACACCAGGAAAATACAAATTAGCTTATGAAAGACATGGAACAACAGGCATAAATTTACCAGACCCTAACTTCTTGAAACAAATGCTATCTAATGATAGCCTTCAACAGCTCCATCCATAATCGCATTAAACAGATCACAAATTGAAACGCCACCATAACCAAGCACTGGTAAATGTTCAACTGGACGTCTTGATATCAATGGCACGTACAGTCACAAATCACAAATTGAAAACCGACACAACCAAGATTTCACTAAAAACAATACTAAATGTAATAGTTTATATATAAAGGTATCCTATGTTTGTATATAAGCAAATACCCCTCCCAAAAAAATGAATAGCCATCTGACACGCAGGACAGAACTATGCTTCACTATCAAACAAAAGAATGCATGACAAGTGGCAATGAAGGCGTGGATGCAACTGAAAATTGAAATATCTCAAAATTTAAATTCTCACCATAAGGACAAACATAAGCCATAAGCTGCTACGGTCCAGACATTCCTATTTTCTATTATTCCAATCAAAAGAAATTGGAAAGATTCCAAATCAACAAAAGAAAAGGTAAGTAGACCTAACCCATTGAATCAGATTCATTCTCTTCATAAAAAATAGGAGGTAGAACCAATAAAGATTTCTTTTCATAAACCGCTCTACCATAATTCTTAGCGGATAACCCCAATTTTGGTTTAATAGTACATCCCAATAGGGGACGGCCCTACAGTGCTGCCTTTCCAAGAAGTTAAAATAAATATTGCACAATGATCTAGTATTCATTCAAAGCAAAGGTCAAAAAGGGAAGATATCAAATAATTCGAACATCGTGAGCTAGGTTTTAAGGATAAAATCTTCAACAATATCTTTATCGTGTTAATGATTTTAAAATTAAATTAAATCAATATGTAAAAAACTTAAATTGCTCAGTCCATCGCAGCCCACTCCCAAACATTCTCATAAACAAGGTCTTAATTTTGGCAGTGCAGTGGAGCAAGGTTTGAGCTTAAAGAAAAATAAATAAAAAAACCATAGTTTTGTAGGATTATTAAATGAGACTCATAGTGATTAATGACTTGATGCGTTCAAAATCAGCAATACAATCCCATGTGTTTTCCAGCAATATAAGGTATGGTCAAAATTTTCACATTAGACCACCTTAACCAATCAAAAGAGAACAAATAAAATTTGAGGTAAACATCAAATCAGGTGAAAGCTTTTGCAGCAAATTAAAAGATGAAGATAATAGAATAGGAAACCTGGGCAGAGAGTGGGCCCGAGGACGCGAGCTCTTCGCGAACAAGATCGCCGGTGGCAATGTGAGGGACGCCGAGAAGATTGCAGAGGCGACTTGCGTAGGTGCCTTTACCGACGCCTGGGCAGCCCAAAAAGATCCACTGGACATTCCTATCCCGTGGATCTTTACGAGGAAACTGGGGTTTGGGATGGAAGAGAGGAGCATTGTACGTAGGCGCCTGAGATGCAACCGCAGAGGAAAAGTATTTACCCGCCAGGTAAGAGATGGAGGTTGTACGCCTTGCCAGGCGAGTTATGGCCGCCATTGAAACCACCGGAGCCTTGAGAGACGCTTGCGCTGAGCCTAAGAAGAAGGAGGCTCTGCTTCCGTATCCTCGGCGCCCACCCTCTCCACTCTGTAGATAATTAATTAATTAATTAATAATTAATGTTACCGCCTGACCCAGCTAGGGTTTTTGAAGGGGGGAAAAAATAACAAGTGGCCTTGTATTAAAAGCCGGTGAATATTGCCCTTGATAGAGATCCAGTGGGCTTTTTTTCCCAACCATCTAATGGGCCACTGTTGACAGCTCCTTGAGAATTCTCTTTCAAAAAAACATTGAAGTTCTCATTTTCTTCTCAGCAGTTAACACCCCTTTTCAACAAAGCACACTTTGGCGGTACCCAGTTTTCATTTGACTTGTAACTAATTTCTAAGTTCCTATTAAAAGAAAAATGAGTGCGTAACCTTCCACACAGCGAAAAGTGCTACACACAAAAAAAAAAAAAAACCGCTCTCAACTTATAAACCTGAATTCTATTCATTCTAATCTGTGCAGAATCGTGTTGACGCATGCGTAGTTTATAAAACCTAATACTAGTGTCACAATTAGCATATATCAGCGTTTCCGATATATTTTAGTAGCAGACGTAAAAGTTCTAAAGAGCAGACGATGAACCGTCTTCATACGAGGTTTTTTAATCTATTTAAATTAAGGAATAATTAATATATAAGTCTTTATAGTTTCAATTAGTTTTTAATCAGGTCCCTATAATTTTTTTTCTTTTTATCAGGTTCTTATACTTTCATATATTTTTAATCAAGTCCTTATAATTTTTTTTCTTTTTATCAGGTCCTTTTCTAAAGAGCAGACGATGAACCGTCTTCATATGAGGTTTTTTAATCTATTTAAATTAATCAATTAGTTTTTATATTAAAGATCGGAGGTAGTATATAATTTTTATTTTTGTACCTATAGTTTTGTATCTTATCACCAATGTTTAGCCATGTTCAGTGCAATTGGTCTTCAATATTTTCATTCATTTTAAACTTTTCCTGCATGAAAACGTCATCTATCTATTATCAGTTTTCATTTTTTCTTTCTACCGCTTATCTCAGTATTTATTCATATAAATTATATTTGCACTCGTATAAAGCGTAGATCTCAGTCCAGTCAATTTATCAAGCCGCCCATGTCCATGTGCTCTCGTTTCCTCGTCGCTTCCTTCTCTTTTGCAAATGCTGAGGCATCCCTGCGCAAATCGGGCACAAATAGCCCTGGAATAGACACGTGTTGTTGGAGCTTCATGTCCCACGTCGAATCGAGCCAGTAGAATAAATGTAATTTACTGTCGCTAGACTTGTACCTATTTGAGAGGGCTTAAAAAATTCCTATAAACATGTTTCACGTAAGTTGAAACAAAATTTTTTTTATATATTTATCTTATATTTCATAAATTACTATTAAAAAACTGTTTCAAACAGGTTCATTGTCACCACTGGAGTTTGAGCTTGTTTGGAGTTGTGATTTATTAATACAGTAAGGCGAAACAAAACTCTGTTTACATACTTATATTTTATTTTATGAATTATGATTAAAAAATTATTTATAAATCATTTTAAATAAACTTTTTAAATTTCAAAGAAATTGCTAATAAATATCCCGAACAAGTATATATAAAACAAGCCTCAATACAGCTCGTTATTCAAGATTTCAAGCACGGTGCGTCATGCGTCTAATTGTCTTTGACATTGATGTTAATACAGCGTCTGATTGTGATATATATGTATTTGACTCATATTTGAAATGACACACACGCACAGCCACAGACAAACCAAAGACACATACCAGAGCCGATTCAAACAGGTAATTAGGTGTATGGTCACAAGGTAATTCTCCGGCCAAGGAGAGAAGACTTGGACTTGGAAAGCAGCCACATTGAAGTGAATGGGGCCTGTGAAGACCCGTGTTTGCAATCCATGAGGAAGACCGGAGGGCACTTGACCTTGTGCGATGTTTTGTGATTGTCTGTGAAAGATTCGCTCTTCTATCGATAAGCAAACTATCTCCACGTGGGACCTTCTGAATCCGACATCACAGTGCCTAAGCGCACGAGTGCTGCATTATATTAAGACATTCACTACTGTTTTAGCTTGGGAGATCAAAATTCCTACCTTCCCATTTACTTATTGAATTCATCAAGCCGTTTATTGACAATCACTTCCTGTGTTTTGTACTGAGTTATGTTGACAAGACAAGCATGTCCTCAAGAATATGCCAACTCAGCAATCGTGTGACGAACCCGGCAAATACTTTCAGATTCTTTGACTTCACGCTTAAAATCTCAAATGAGTTCGTGTGAAAGGATGATTTTCTAGATTGTCAAATGAACCTGTGCCCTTTTACAGCTGAGCGGTCAGTAACTATTGCCCGAGATTATAGTGTGACTATAATATTACTCATATCGTCACGTGCCCGTGGGGCTTTGATGAGGTAGAAATCCTGAAAACTCGCGTTTGCTTATGCCCAGCTGTTTTTCAAATAAGTATGTGTATATATATGCCATTATTATTTTTTTCATTAGAAGGATTTAAGTCTTCCGATTTCCCGTTCTATGCGAACCATGATTACTTCTGCATGAAATTACACAAATAGTGAAATTAATCCTGAAGGTTATTAAGGTCGACAGTACTGTTTATTTGTATTCTTTAAATGGACAATGATAACTATCGATCCGCGAAGCCCAGTAGAATCAACCTCTATTATTGTAGCTTGCTTTAAGGTGATGGCTGTGAAGTGTGGACCTTTAATTGTCTGAATTTTGAATTTTGACCCTTCAAGTAAAAGAAACCTTTTTCTATTAATTTTCCCTACCGCCATTCTTTAGTTTTAACAGGAAAACCCGTTGAGAGTTCCTACTAAAGCTGCAGGGGACTTCTTCGAGCAGTTGTTTGTCATAGAACTAGGAAGTAAATAAAAAAGAAAGGATATTAAGGGAATTAATACTCAAGATTTGAAATGGGAGGACACAGGAATGAAATAGCAGAATCTGCACATTACTAAAGGCTATGAGCAGAAACAAAACTACAACAGAGAGACAGAGCAGCATAATAATACAAATACAGGCGTACAACACCAAAGAAGAACGGGATAGCCTGCAAATTATTAAGCAGCTCGGAGAAAAGAAGATGGAGCTATGATAGAACTCAGTTGTGACCAGAATGGTCAGTTTTGGAGGGACGTGGCTCATCTGTCACCTTTTCCCTCATGCACCTGCACAGGGCTCTCCATGAATCCAGTACCATACTTACAAACTCGTTCATTATTTTAGCTTTGATCTGTCCTCTCATTGGAAGAGGCCTACCCTTCTTCGTACTTGTACGATCACCCTTTTCTTCTGTTCTACCCATGTTCGTTTGTTTGCAGAAAAACACAGAAACGATTGGAAAGAGCGAACCACCAGTATCAAAGTGCTGAACTCTATGTCGCGCGAGGAGAACAAAGGCGCAGGCCATATGTATATATAGGCTCATTCTTAAATCTTGACTAGAATTTTTATTCTGCTCTCTCTCTTTTTTTGAATAAAAAAGCTAATAAATGCGCATCTAATAAAAATGAAAAAAAGAAGAAGGAAAAGCCTAATGGGTGAAACAAACACCTTGCCTTGCTTTTCTGCAGCGGCGCTAGCATTCACATTCCGCGTGGAAAATATTGAGACATCAAATTTTGCTACGTACCTTTGTCGCAGCGAAAATTAATTAAATTCAGTGGAGGTTGTGTTATTTGGTCAGAACACGACTCGTGCATCACAACAGTGTGAGATGAGATCATGCTCCTCGGTAGAAACCTTATTAATCAATGGATAATCCATAACATAGCTGTAGGTTATTTGAGAAGTGGGACTGTGACCTGATCTAACTTTAGTAATACCCCCACTATTTAATATAAGTACTAGTTGACTAATTTAAATAAATTAAAAAAATTGTTAAGGTAATTATTTGTAACAAGTAGGTGTTGTCTTCTCTAAAATACCCATATTAATAATGTGTATTAACTAGAATTATCATTTGATGAAACATTTAACATTTGTAACTACTATAAGGACTATCTTGAGAAAAAATAGTTAAATATGAGAGATAAAGTGAATTAGAATTATAGTATTATATTTATAATCAAATTAAAAGTTAAACTAGTTCTTATATTAAGAAGTAGAGAGTAGTATGTAACTCATCTAAAATATTTTTCCCAGACATTAAAAAAGCTGGGAGCAGAAATTTTATCTGAATGCAGATTGAAGCGAGCATTCGGATTCCGATTAACGGAATACTCTTGGCTGAACGTTGCGAAAGTCCCACGTGATGTCGAGCGACTAAGTGCCTGGTTAAATCATTTAGACACTGTTTGGATGGATGATTGGATAAGTCACCGAACATAAGAGTCAGTTTCTTGTTCTGACAAGTACTACTATCTCCGGTCATCAATATAAAATTAACTAACTAATTTAACAGATTAAAAAAATTAATTAAATTAGTTATTTGTAATAAATATATATTATCTTTCTTAAAATATCTTTACTAATTGGTTAAAACTATCATTATTATAAGAATTATCTTAAAAAAAAATAGATAAATATGAAAAAGAATGTATTAGAGTTTTATATTTAGAATCAAAATAAAATTCAAACAACCTCCGATAATTATTGCATTACAAGATCAAAACACTTTGAATTGTCAGACTATATAAAGAACTCGATCCATCTTGTTTACAGCACTGGGGATTCTTGTCTCTTCCTTGTCTGCCATGAAAGTGACCTGATAGCGTCGTCTACGTTAGAAGGGAGACATGCCTAACATCTGTATCATACCATTATTTTGGCGAAGAAGACGTAAAGGATTTATATACTCAGCGATGGTTAGCAGACAGCTCTACTATATAAAACCAGCCATGATCTTATGAACCACGTCAAAGATGAACATCGCTGTTTCCCTTGGAATGAAATAAATGAATCCTATGAGTAATGTAAATGCAGAGAGGAATGCAAGGCAAGGCAATTTAACTTGTTAATCATTAAAACAGAAGAAATTCACAGGCTTTTCAGATTTTGCTATTCGAAAACTGGAAGGCATAACATGCAGCAGCAATCCAGATATATATCTTCGACGTGACGAGTCTCCATTTATTACTAAGCCCTATCAAACAAGCTCCACTGGATCTGGACGGAGAAAATCTTCCGCTGGGTAGCTTAACTCTTAACGTAGAACAAGATAGCTACTGATTGCATTTGTTCATTTTTTTTTTTTCCCTCTCAAGCACCTACCACTTCTTCTGGACTCGTTGTTATACGTGTTCGATGGGGTATGGAAATAAACCCAGCAATTGCTCTATCTGTACTAGAGTTGAGAATATGACGCTGATGAAGTCTTTCTTTATGTCATCTTTTTTCTTTTGGGCAAATTTCCTCATATCACATTTGCCATGTTTTCGTGCTTGCACGAATATATTTGATCCCCGGAAATAGAGCTGACTGAGAGAGAATCAACAAGTACGCGCCGGCGGCTACAAAAATCTTGGAAGGACAACAGAGCATTTCAAGCAAGTATATTAGCAGGTAGCCGATGGGCATGGACAACAGGCATCTCTTAATGTCACTACACTTCAGGTTTTCTTTTTCTGGGTGCAACACTTCACTTCAGGTTGATCTATCGCCAACTCAGATATACCTGAGTATGATTTTTGTTTTTGTTTCCGGGCCAATCCTGAATGTGAAATGTTAAGTAACAACTGAGGATAATATTGATTCCAGTTGGATGAACCAGAGGAACAAAGAGGAAGAGATAAGCTGTCACATTGATAGGCAATTTACAGTTTCAGTGAAACCAATAGTTTACTTGTGAGATACAAAACCAAGGACATCACTTGATTGGTGCAAGAATTGTATATAACAAAAGGAATGAAACAATTATAATAGCCCCCACTAAAGTGAAGCCAGGACTAGTCCACAACATGAGGTTTGATCTCTCTGTTCTTTTGATCGGATCAGTCTCCTCAGAGATTGGGAACTCTGATCGCCTTGGATTCCAGCTCACATACTTGTCTGGAGAAAACCGAGAGAAGAGTGATTTCCTCCCTTGCTTCCTGAAATTTGACCATGCCTTGTCCCAGTCTGTTGAAAACTTGTCTCCTGGACCATTTAACAAACAGTTTCTGTATGAGTCTTCCTGGGTTATAGATTCCACCTCAAGAAAATTTATAAAACTTACATTATATGTGACCAGGCACTTTTTTTTTTTTGGACTCAGGTGACCAGGCACTTAATGCAAAGGGCGAAATGTTGTCAAATGACATTTCGGAAACTACTATTATGCTGAAGCATTAAGGATTCGGCATACATAACTACTTGAGATAACGAAGAGGGAATGATCATGCATCAATTGGCATTCTTTTCCCATGATAGCAGAAATGGAGAACATATGCTTTCACAAAATTGTCTTCACGCCCGATTCCCTGTGTGGCAACAAGTGGGAAATTGGGCATCTTTGCATAAAATTTGAGCTGTTTCATATATAACCAAGTTAACTATCCACCTTGAGGACCATATGAACCGCCCTGGAGCAAAGACTAGTAGGTCAAGCCTTTCTTTCTTTTATAAAAGAAAGAAAAAGCGGAAATAATTCCAGACCAGCAAAAAATAAGTGGATTATAAAAGATTCATCACTTCTTAAAACAGGAAAACGGAAAAAAAGAAGAAGAAGATGATTGGCCAGATTGGAAGATAGCAGTACCCTTATTATTATCATCGCCGTTTTCTTGAGATTCTCCGAAGTCCCTTCTGGAACAGAAACTTTTGAAAGGCGAGTAAGAAGAGGAGTGAGATGGTGAGGACGAAGACGACGATCTTTGGTTTCGAGAGAAGAAGGGATGCGATATAATGCTTCGGATCCGGAACTGAATATCCATTTGCGTCCTGACCAGGATTCCGATTATGTCTCCGAGCTGCTTCTGCAGCAGACTCCGGATGTGCAGGACAGCGTAGGCCAGCATCTGCGCCTCTTCCGTGGCTCTTATCCTTCACTGCAATTGCAGGTCTCAAATTTAGCCACGTCACCCACCTCTTTAACACGTGTCGTCTCCTCAAGGCTTGTTCGAAAATATGATTACAAACAAAATTGATTGGACTATATAATTTAAAAATTAAAATTTAATTTATGATTTTTATAATTTGGGCTCATGATTCCAGTTGTTCTTTTTTGCGTCTTCCCCCGCTAAAGACTCAACTAGAACAAAAGATGATCCATCAAGGAGAACGTGAAGTACGGGACAGGATAAAAATCAAACCATCTAACAGAAGTTGGGTTTAGAGAAAAGAAAAGAATTTTTTTTTTTTGGACCGGAAAAAGAAAAGAATTAATCTCTTGTAGCTTAGCAAACCAAAGTTTAAATCTCTGTTAATACAGATATATTCACATTTAGTATCAGATAATATTTTGAAATAAATTGTTTCTAATAGAAAGATATTATGTTTTAACGGAAAAAAAAAACAATTAAAAAAAAGAGAAGGACGACTGATTGATTGAAGTTTGAGAGAGAGAGAGAGGGAGAGCGTTTGTGGAACGCAAAGCGGTTGAAGAGTTATATTTCTCTACTGTTTCAACTCGACTCATCAAACGCTTTGTGGTGTTGTTCCTCAAAAACGACGTCATTTGGTTAAGCAGGCTGAAACGATATTGGCCACTCGCCAATTTGATTCGTTTAATTTCAACGAGTTACGTAATTTCATGATACAGCCAACTATTATCGTCCTGATGTGTGAGGTTCAGTCTCTTCTTTCACAGATGCAATCTTAATTGCTCATTTTCATCACTTGAAAATTATTTTCATTGTTCTTCCTTCAAAAGCCGTGTTCTTCTGTGATTTTGAGCAGAGAGAAAGCTTTCTAAAGTTGGATGCAACGTCTCAGTCACGTGTCCCTTCCCTTTATCCATCTGGATGGAGAGAAAATGAAGGGAAAAAACAAAAGACCAGGGAAGAAAAAAAGCTCGTGACGAGAGAGAGCAGGTGATCAAAAATGAATTGCAAAAAAAAAAAAACACATTTCTTTGCATAATCCTCTTGTTTAATATTTTCGAAGCATTTCATCGCGGCTTTTCTTTGACTTTTTATAATCAGAGAGAAATCAGCTCGCATCACAGCTGAGTAACACCACGGTCACGTGTGTTTTAGAATCATTTGGTAGCAATAGTTGTCTCAATAATACAAGGATGATGAATTGAAGGAAAAAAGGTAGTACCCACGACGTCTTTGGAGCAACATTCTTTAAAACATAGTTCTCATATATTCTGTATACGTCGGGCAACAATGAGGGGGTGTTGCTATTTGCTGGTTACATATAAAAGTTAAAAATTGAACTCCCCAACTACTCTCAAAGGACGTGCCATTCGGATTTATATTCGTTTGAGCTGACTTAGATAGATTAGGAATATTCTTATTAATGGACAATAGAGATTAATTTCTCCCATAACAGCACAAGGAAAAAAAAACAAATTCATTTTTACTACAGATCGAAATTCAATTTTTTACATATTATCCCTCCATAATTGTTTTTAACATGAAGTCATTCAGATAAAATAACTGGTAAAACACTTTTTTTTGTTTTTTTGGACAAACGAACTCAACCTAGCTTCAATTGCCCCTCCAAGAAGGTTTGCGTTCTGCATTGGTCTTATCCCTGAACACGTAGGCCATCTAGTCCCTCCCATTTAGTGGACGAAAGACACGCCCACGTAGTGATCACCAAACTTAGGTGGGACCACTGCCTTTTAAGCCTTCCTGATTATTTTTGCAACGCTCCAAAAAATCGGCCACCATCAACGGCCTGTGTTCCATTCTCTATATCGCGGTCTATCCCAACGGCATCGCTCTTGCGCTCCTATTCGCTCACGTTGGTTTATATCGGGCGCACTGCGGGTGTATATGGTGGGGTGACTGCACTATAGTGCCCCTCAAATCACCCAGTGACGGGACGTCGCGTGATTTGGAAATCGGGGAAGTGGTAGTTATCTTTGGGAAGCGGCCACAGCATTTTCCCGGCCTCAAGTTGGGCATCGCGCATATACGCAAAACCACTCATTTAGGCAGACCAGCCCGCCACATTCGAGTTCTTACCATTCTCTCTCTAACTTTTGAGCTTATCTGCTCTCTGCTCTGAGCATGAACTCCACCACTTCGAATTCTCAATCAATGGCGACCTCGACGCCCACTGACGGTCTAGCAAGAAGGTGAGAAAGCCCTATACCATTACCAAATCGAGGGAAAGCTGGACAGAGGAAGAGCATGACAAGTTTCTAGAAGCTCTTCAACTGTGAGTTTCAATGCTTCTTTTCTTTTAATTTTCACTCAATTATGTCTTCTCCGCTCTTTGTTCCCCTTTTGAGTGTTCATCTGACCTAACTTCTCTACTTACTGTGCCAATTGAGTATTTCTAGATTGTTTTATATATCAAGCCGAGAATGCTTTTATTGTTCTTATCTTCCTTCTTGATCTTCAG